TGATCAAAGTTTTCTAAGTCATCAAGTGAAGTTCATGATTTAGAATTTCGTGATCAAGATCAAGTCGTCAATACACTTGAAGTGAAGATTAAGCAAAGTTCGTGATTAAGATTAAGTCCGAATTCGTCACTATTGAAGACGAAGTGAAAAAATTAAAATTTTTAAAGATTATAACTTACATCAAATATTTATACTTATTTTATAATTTTCAAAGTTAAAAAATTATTTTAGGAAAAATTTGTGTGTACAATAACATTTTTTTCTTTTTTACCACTTTGTCTGGTCAAAGGGCAATTGACACAGTGAACATGACCATAATCAAAAAGAGTTCTTCACAGTCACAGCCTTTGTATCTTGCCCAAGGCATATGTCAAAATCAAAATAATGTCCTTTTGTGATAAATATATATAAATAAAATAAAAGAGAGTTGGCAAGGTGTTAAGAAAGTCAAGTATTCCATTTTAATGGGGGATTCAAAGAATTTAGCCTTACCTGCAGCACTCAACCTGTCAAATCCGTCAACAACAACAGCCTTAAAACTCGAAGAAAAAATCTCCAAACTCTTACAAAGCAATGACCTGTCTCTGGAGATAATTCAAACTTCAAAAAGTACTGCAATAGTCCTTTTGCATTTGCTAGCAGCCTTCCTCCCCTACTTTATCCCATCAATTTCTCCACACAAGTTGTATCACTTTTGATTCAGACCCAACATTTAGCTCTTTCTCACTCACTAGCTTTTGAGAACATTCTTATCACAAATATCACAAAATTTATGCCAATCCTGCAAAGCTCAATGGGAAGGTTTTCTTATTATTTTTTTGCTTAAATTAAGAGAAAAAGAATAACGTCTTGATCATAAATGCCATGTGGTTTAAAAGCTAGAAAGAAGTTTTCCTCTTCAATATATATATATATAATGAATGTGCAATTGTCAATTAATTGACACTTAAGTTACCAATATAAAAAGGGGATGCAATGCATGATGAAAACGATCAAATTTACAGTTAGAGTAAAAAGAGAAATTATTATACAAATAGTTTTAATTTTCTTATTTATAAATCTAACGAATTTTATGATTTAGTACTTGTGTTTGTGAATCATTTGACAAAAAATTGATTATATCTTAGTAACGTGTGAAATTATCTTTTATATCTTATCACTCTTATTATTAAATTATACTTAGTAAAAGAAATGAATTTCGCAAGGATATGTCTATTCCACATGCAATTCCATAATTTTTAACGCATTGGTGTGTATCACGTATCTTTTCTCGAGCTCTATAAATACCCACCATGGTAACCAAGAAATATGCATGAACTCCATCACAGCTCTTATCTACATTTATGAGACTGATATATCCTCCTAGCCATGGCTATCGTAACATCCCAAGCTGAGCTCCAGTTCGTAGTGATCACACCCCACAGCAGCAGCGATGCAACCCATCAAATTCAAAGAAGCAGCGTCTCAACCATTGTTGCTAGGCGTCTTAAGGAATCAAGTACTGCCATCTTAACCAAATTTCATGCAGGTTATTTTAGGGTAAGCCTATCTCTGGGTGGCCAGGCTTTGTTATGGAAGACACTAATGGGGCCGACAGATGACACGAGCAGTCTAAGAATTACGCTCCACATGTTTCATCCCAGGGCTTTTACTCTACTCTGGTCTTTCGCGTTCTTGACCCTTGTTTTACTCTCAGTTCTTTACCTTTTGAGATGTTTATTTTACTTCAAGATGGTGAAAGAGGAGTTCCTGCACCATATAGGGGTTAACTACCTATTCGCTCCATCGATTTCTTGGCTTCTTTTGCTTCAATCAGCGCCTTTCTTTACCCCAAACAACCATTCCTACCCTGTTCTCTGGTGGATTTTTGCGGTTCCTGTTGTGGTGCTTGATGTGAAAATCTATGGCCAATGGTTTACTAAAGGGAAGAAGTTATTATCAGCGGTCGCAAATCCGACAAGCCAGTTGTCGGTTATAGGGAACCTGGTGGGTGCACAAGCCGCGGCAAATATGGGGTGGAAAGAGAGTGCTATTTGCCTTTTCTCACTAGGGATGGCGCATTACTTAGTGCTCTTCGTGACGCTTTACCAGCGTTTACCAGGCACCGATCGGCTTCCAACGATGCTGAGGCCCGCTTTCTTCTTGTTCTTCGCAGCACCAAGCACGGCCAGCTTGGCTTGGCAATCTATTTCTGGTGCTTTCGATACAGCATCGAAAATGCTTTTCTTCCTCTCGCTCTTCCTCTTCATGTCACTTGTAAGTAACGTCTGCCTAAATTACTGTCAATTAAGATAATGACGCAGCGTGAAAGTAAATATTCATGCCCACTAAAATATTAGATCCCCTGTGGTCCATAAGGAATTCATTTCCCCATGCAATGACAAAAACATACAACTGTTTTGGTAGGCAGGGTACGTTTTCAAGTTTCTTCAGATAAGGGCTCGAAATTCAACCTTGGTTCTTTCCAAGAATTGCCAGATTCCGTACGTGCCCACGTGTACGGTGCACGGATTGGGCAGTGCAATCATATTTATGTTGTAATTACGTAATCATTTGCTTGCATTTTCTATGGCGACAGGTTTGCAGGCCGACACTGTTTAAGAGATCTATGAGAAGCTTCAATGTGGCATGGTGGGCTTACTCGTTTCCCTTGTCTGTGCTTGCTCTAGCATCAACGGAATATGCAGAAGAAGTGAAAGGGGGCCTTGCACGCCTCCTAATGCTTGTTCTTTTAGCATTTTCTGTCTTGGTCGCCATTGGTTTGATCTTGTTCACACTGCTCAACTCTAAGATGCTCTTACCTCAGAATGATGATCCGACTGCAAGTCATCTCGCTTCTCATCTACCGGAAGTGTCAGGACAGAGAAAATCAGCAACTACAACAAGTACTGTCCAGACAAATAATAAAACAAGTGTATAGATGAATGATAGATGCTCTCCTACAATCTCTAATTTGGGAAACTTAAGTAATAACTATCTGAAGAATGCATATTAAGAGAGTCGAATTCCCTGACAGACATGAGCAATTCCATCCAAAGAACTGGATGTTCATGCACCATATGCCAATTAGACAACATGGACATCATGGGGGAAAAGGCATAAACTGTAAAGGTTTATCAGATTTGTGGATAAATTTCTATGTATCTATCGTTTTGCTGACAATTTGTGAGAGTAGCAATTCAATTTTTGCAGTTACAATAGAACTTGGCTTCTAGCTTTAGCAACTTGCGGTTTGATGTCCAACAATATCTTTGCAAACGTTGACTGATCGGAACAATTCGCAGCATTTTCAAAATTTCATCAAGGAATTGATTTGACTAAATATATTGCTTAGACCCAAAACGAAAAAAGGTGAAAGTGATTTTTAAATATATATTCACAAATAAGACACCAAACCAATTAAAACCTAACATGTCTAAAGAAAAGTCTAAATTGATCATAATGTCAAAGAAATTTAATACTCTTAGTTAATATTGAAATTTGGGTTTTTTTTTTAGGTATTGATTTCGATTTTTAATTTTTATTATAAAAATTATCTTAGGACGGTATAATGAACCAAAACAGCACATGAAAGACAAAGAGCTTCTCTTGTGCATTTCTATATATATATAAATTTGATAACAATTTATAAGGATTGTATCTGAGATCAAACTAATCAATATATCTGCTATACATTTCTCCCAGCATGAACAGGAAGAATCCGAAGAGCACATTTCAGAATCATCCCATCACAACCGGGTTATAGTTACTATCTTCAACCCACCTCCAATATCAAATTAAGTGCT